AAAAAAAACGAGCTCTCCGAGGGCGCAGGACCCTGGCGTCTCCCCGGCTCCGCCCGGCCGTGCCCCCACCCCGCGGGTCTCCGGCGCCGCGATCCGGCTCGAGGGCGGGGACTGGCAGCTCCCTGCCAGAGGGACCTGCTCCAGGGCCACCCTCCCGCCTTGCGTGACGACTCGGCCGCCCGGCACCAGGGCGCGGGACCCAGGACTCCAGCCGCGGGCCGCGGGCGCTCAGAAACTCCCGGAGTTGAGCGCCGCGCCTGCGAGGCCGAGGGGTGGCCCCTGGCGACCCCAACGCTCCTCCTTGGTGGGGCTGCAGTAGGCCCAGCGAGCGGCCCCGGGGGCGGAGGCAGGTGTCGGCCGCGGGCTCCTTCCACACCCAGGACCTGAGTTCCCGAAGCCCGCGGGCCCCGCGCTCTCGGGGCGTGGACTCAGGATCCTTGTAGCTGAAAGGAATCATCAAGTATTTATAAGATTTCCTGCAAGACGCTTCACAATAGAATATAGTTATCTTGGTCGGAAATTTGCCAAAAGCCATAAATAATTGAGACAGCTGTGACTAACCTCCCAGAAACCATACCAGGATTCGCAATTAAACATTTAATTGAACCGTCTCATTGCCCCCTAGTCCCAGAGGGGAGGAGGAGTGAGAGGCAAACCCTGGCTCCACCCAGCCGGGAGCCTGCGCGACTCCGGCCCGGAGCGCCCCGTTGCCTCCCCGCGCACGCGGTTCCAGGGGGTCTCGAGTTCGCTGCTTTCGGGCGCCCAGGCCCGGCCCGGGCGATTTAAGCTCCAGCTCCCCGGGCTTTTGCGGCTTCTAAATCTCCGGAGCTCGCGGGAGCGCCACGCCAGGTGCGCGGGGCGCCGCTGGGTGCAGCTCGGGGAGGCAGTGCCGCCGCAGGTCGCTTTCTCCCGAGGTTGAGTGGCCGCAGCGGAGCCCGCTGGCTGGAGGCGAAAGGCCTCTGCTGGGCCCAGCCTGCGAAGTCGACGGTGCGACTGGGCGTGTTCGGAGTGAAAGCTGTAACTTCGCCGGGCTTCACTGCCCAGAATTAAGAGTCGGATAGGACAGGCTGCCCGAGGCCCGGGAGCAACGACCTTTGAACGCTCAGCGGCGTTGCCCAAGCCAATTCCCTCCAGCAGCCGATGCTCCCTTCCCGCGGAGCGCGCCGCCTCGTTCGCGCAACCGGACGTCGGAGCCGCAGCTTCGGGACCCGCCGCTCTCCCGCCCTCCGGACGCCAGCAGTAGCTGAGCTGAGACCTCGAACCCTGAACCTGGCCCCGGGAGCCTCGGTCCGGACCGCGGCCTTCCTGAGTTATTTCTTCCAGGGCAATCTGCCACGCTCTGGAAAGTCTTGGGTCTCGATAATCTGTTTTGAAATTACTCCTCCTCACAATCCGCTATCCTTCCACTTCCCACTTCCTCGTCCCTCCTCCCTCCCTGCCTCCCCCCCCACCCCCACCCCGCTCGAACCTGGGGGTCTCCAGTCAGCTACACTCAAACCACACTTTAACTTAAATACGCTCTTTCCCAACGGGGAACCGGCCTTCCTAAGCTCCTGCCGGCCCCTGCGCTCACTCCTTGACCCACACCCGCGCTGGCTCCGACCTTCTGGACCAGGAGGTAGATACCGAGGCGGAGAGCTGGGCTCACCCTGCACTCCCGCCTCTCTGGCAGGACTGTTGCTGGGGCCCCAAATGTACTTTATACATCGGGCCGCTCCCTACCCAACTCTACATCTGGATCCCAATGGAGTATTTCCTTGTGCCCTTTCCTGCTCTCATTACTATTCTCAAGCTATTTCTATTCATCTGCATCTTCAATGCACAATCTCCATCAACAAGGTGCTAGTCTGTAATTGGCCACACAATCCTCATAACTGCACTGAATCCCAGGATTTTCAAGAAAGTTTACTTTCACATCAATCAGACCCAGATTTAAAAGCCTCTAATCTTTCCCGCATCAGCTTAATAAACTCTGAATTTCCTGCTTTTATCACCACTCCACTGGGAACTTGCCTGCAAACAGTTATGCATCCATTGTTTCTCTCTCCAGCATGCTGCTATCCAACTAATTCTCTTGGTGTCTTTGGTGAACACCCAAGAGAAAGCACAGCTAACTAAATGTGTGGCCATCTGTGTCCTCCCCGAGGCAGGAGAGGCAGAACCTCAAATTTTCTAAGGAATAATCTTAGACAATGTCCATTTAAACCCTGTATTTGCAGCTCTGACGAAACTGAACTTTGTTATTCCATATTCAAAACAGAAAGCCTGATTTCTGTTCCACAATCCATTAAATATTAAAGTTTGTTGGAAATACTGCCGCAGGGACTGAATCTCCCAGAATTATGCAGTTTTTAAATATGTATTAAATTTGTGTAAAAATGCATAGCCATCAACTTTCCATCTCTGGGAATCCCTTTCCTGCCTCAATTGCATAGAGCTCTCCAAATTAATAGTTAAATCTTCTGAGAAAATCGTATTCTAAAGTCAATCTAGTTACATAACTCCCTCTTTCCACCTATGGCCTCTTTTACTGAATTGAGTTTTTACTAAATTGAGTTTTTACTACACAACTGGGTATCTCACGTTAAAAGTTCAGTAAGCATAAAATACAACACTTGTAATTGTTACAGGTAATTTAATTTACAGGGAAATTCCTGCTGTATTGCAGAAGATGTTTAAAGATGACCTGGGAACCAGTAAAACTGATATTTATTAATGTAACTAACCAAGCGTGGATGTAACACCTCACTAGGGACCACTGTAATACGGCTTCAGAGTTAAACCCTTTCCCTGGAAACCCACATAGAAAGTGATGCACCCCTTTGGGTGGGTGGCAACTGTGGGAGAGAAAAGCTTGTAATGTTTTATACAGTGATACAGAGAGACGCAGGAATCCTAACACACAATATCACTTTTATCTGGGTAACCTCCCAATATTCAAAAAAGACAGACATACTCATATAAATATCAAAAAGAGGAATTTGATTTTGGATGCATGGATGATAAGGAAAGAGACAGATGTTAAGAGACAACTAATGCAGACAGTTCCATTCATAGCATTAAAACACTGCAATCTGTCAAAAGCAAAAATTCAGAGCGAATTAACCGTTAATGAAATTCTTTATTCAATAACCTTACTTCCTTTTTAGTTAAAAAGGAGAAAACTCAAATATTCTGGAAAAATCACAAGTTTTTGAAAGGAAGATTTATTGGAAGTTTTAGCCCCCTACCTAACGGCCAGCCAGAAGGTAAAAGGAGAAATCTGTATTTCTATTTGGGGAGGAATGGTCTAAGTTAAAGGAAGGAAGCCTCACAGAACCCAGACCTGATTATTAAAGCCATTTCTGGGCACTTGAGCGGTAAAGCTGGTCCTCATTAACCCTGCCTATCTCTTCCCTTATCTCTAAGTTTGCAGCACCATTTCCTAAATCTCAAAGAAAGGGAATGTTCCCTTTAATATTTGTGCCAGCATCACCTTGACTTTCAGGAAGTAAAATATAAATGCGGCTCCATTTTTCCACCTCCTCCCATTTTTTTTTTTTTTTTCCAGTAATTGCCAGCAAAGCTTCCATCATCTGGAAGTAGGGGGGGTGGGGGGAGTGTGAAGGAATTCTGCCACAAGCTCTGCTGAAAAACGCACAGTGGCCTCTGGCCATCCAAGCAGTCATGGCTAACAGAAGGCACCTACTTCTCCATCTAAAGACTCCAGGGCCTTCAGACACGTTTCTCTTGCCAGCCTCTACCTAAGATAAGATGGCAACTATCCCCTACCCAGTGAGGGCGTTGCCCACTTTCAAAACAAACCTTGGAGAAAGGAGGATACACTTGTGGGTCGCTTACCTCGAGGGACAAGGAACGGGCAAGTCACTGCCAGAGGTTCTTACACCAGCGGGGGACTAACTGGTAGTCGGGAAGCTCCGAGTCCACTAAGTGAAGGCTGGTCTAGGAAAAACAACTGTCCCAGGCTGCCAAAGGGTTAAATATTTGTGAAGAGTAAAACCTGAGCCTCCGTGTTTTTTTTTTTTTCTTTTTTGGTTTTTTGTTTTTGTGGGTGCGCGCACTTGCCCCGGGGCCTACTGGAGATTCAGTGTCTCTCGGTTACTTCCTGCGATCACTAAAGCCAGTTTTCAAGAAAACAAGTCGCAGGGTTTGAAATGTCACACCAAGTGACCTGGGCACGGCGTATCCAGGGGCCATTCCCAGCCCCCTCCCACCCGGGCCACCCCCCACCCCCTACCCCCTCCACTTCGGTCTGGAAAGAAAATAAACCAAGGACACGCCAGACTGGTTCTGGGTGGACTTATTTTCCCGGCAGCCGCGCTCCTAGCGGGGCCCGCCGCGGCCCCTCGGTGTATCGCTTGCAGGTGATGCCAAACGCAGATAAGCAGCCGCCGCCCGGCCCCCGCCTCCGTCTAGACTGGGGAACTAATAAACGCCGCGGATTGATCACGTCGCGCATCCACTCCGGACAGCGCGCGGAGGACTGCCTGTCACTGCCGCCGGGTCTGGCTAGGGTCGGCCTCGCTGCTGGGCCGCAGGGTTGGGGCAGCGCGAGGGCTTCGCGCCTCACCGAGGGCCGCGGACGGCCGGGGAAGGAAGCGCCGGGACCGAGGCCGGGGGCGCCTGGCGAGAGCGGGGCTCGGGGCTCGGGGCTCGGGGCGCGCCCTCGCCCGCAGGACCCTAAGCGGGAGCCCGCCGCTCAGCCGCCACAGGGCGCCGCGGGTTTCCTGCCCAAACGGGTCCCGCCCCCGCCCGCGGGCGTCCGCGCCCAGGTGCCACGGGGTCGTCGGAGGGGCGCGCGGGCCTCCGGGAGGGCTTCAGCGCGCACGCGCCCGGCCCCGCCCCTCGGCCGCGCCCAATCCCCGCCGGACCCGCCCCGCACGCTGCACGCGGAGCCCTCGAGGCCCACGCTGAGCCGCGGCCGCCGACGCCGGCCCGACCGGGGACCTTCCTCCTGCGGCCCTGCCGCCGCGCCAACAGCACACGGGAGCGGCGTCGCACCGGGGTATGATTTTTTATTAAGATCAAAATGCGAGTCCCACCGTGAACTGGCTGTTCTCACAATAAATAACAATAACTTACGTTTGTTCGGCAAAGGCTCACACACTCCGTCCTCCGTCGAATAACTTAAACGCTTTCAAGGCAACGCTGCTTTCTACTGTTTCCCAGCAATCATGCGCTTTGGGGGTTTGAGTGTCTGTTCCTCTGCGTTATCACCTTCCTTTTCCCGCTGGAGACCGGGAGAAGCCGCCGGGGAGCGGGAGCGGGAGCGGGGGCGGGGAGGGGCGGGGGGCGGCGTGGGCGAGCTCGGGGCGGCGGAGGTGGGGACACAGGTGGGGCGTGGAGAGACAGAGCGGCGGCCACGCGGAGCGCGGAGAGGAGAGGACAGAGCTAGCCCTAGTAAGTCCCAAATTCTGGTTTTGAAAAAATGAGAGTCCTCGGAGCAGGGGTCTGCAGTCTGGTGAAAGCAGGTTGCATCCTGGCGCCTTGGGCTGTCCAGACCGTGTCTCCCGGTCCTCTCTCTTAAATAACAATAGAATAATTACGAAGGCGAGAGACCTTTCGGAGCTGGAATGGCCTGAGCATGGGTGAGTCTCATGCAGGGAGCATGCGAGGTCCGCGGGCTGGCAGGGAGGGGTCCCCCTCACGTCTCCACGGGACTCGGCACCATACTGTTGGGGGTGTCCGGGAGCTGCGAGGACAGGGAGGTCACGTCGCTGCCGGAGGAGTTGCCTAGGGAGCCGGACTCGGAGAAGGAGACCTGGGGCGGCGGAGACACCGGGAAGAGGCGGGTGAAGAGGCACCCGAGCTGGTGCTCCAGGGCCGCGTGCTCCGAGTCGGGGAGTGTCCCCTGGGGACCGGCCGCCGGCTGAGAGCAAGCCCTACGGAAAAGGAGGCCAGGTCCCCAGGCGCACGCAGGGTGGATTAGGGCGGGGGAGCGGGTCGGTTAATCCTGCGACCTCTCTTATGCACACTTTAATCCAGGGAGATCTGGTTTAGGGCGCGTAATGGGCCGAGGTGAGGTTTCAGGACCCGCCACTGTTCCCCCTCCCCCACTGCCTAGGGCTGTTCCCAGCCCCTCAGCCCAAGGCCACCCCCCTCCCCTTTCGGCCAGGCTAAGTGGCTAAATCCCCAACCCACAGAGTACTGAGGTCGGGGCGGGTAGGGCAGGGCCTCACCAGCTGCTGGAAGGCGGGTTGGTCCAGGTCGCTCTGGAGGGCGAACTCGCTGAGCGCCTTCCACGGCGGCTGGTACGTCTGCACCTCCACTGCGCTGCCCTGCACGGCATTCTCGTGGCGGATGGGGCTGCCCGCTACCAGGGGCGTCCCGGTTAGTCCCTGAAGGCTCTGTGGGGCAAGCAGAAGGTGGTGGGTGCTCGAGTTAGGTCTGGCCTTTTCTGCCATCTTTGAGACTGGAGCTCCAGACCTTGGGGAGTGATTGTGGTCTGCATTGCTTTGCGGGAAGGCGCACACTCGACCGCATTGGAGGAGCCCTCTTTCTCCACCCGGGATCTGCGGGGGCCGCAAACTTGCCACCATAGGTCATTCTCCGTGCTGGGAGCCAACCACCCGGTGAGGAAAGGCAAGGCCTGCACGCCCACCTTTCTCCAGCTTCCAACAGAAGGACAGAACCCACCAGCCCAACTGGCGGGCGCTGCCCACAGCCTTGTCGCCTCGGGCTCCACGCAGCGCCCGGTACCTGCAACCCGTGGCTGCCGCTGGGACAAGGAGAAACCCGGATCCCAGACAAAATAGTCAGGAAGCCTCAAACCCAAGGGAAGTCTTGCTCTGAAGGTACAGACATACACCATCCGGAGTGCCCAATTCTCCCTGAATCTCCCGGGGCTCACCCAGAGAAGGGCACGCAGATACCACGGCGGAAGTGCAGGCCCCACCCAACTCGCGCCTCCGGCCCCGCTGCCACTCACCGTCTTGTCGCTGTGCTGCTGCTGCTGCAGCTGCTTCATGAGAATGGATTTCTTCTTGTCTTTGCAGCGCTTATTCTGGAACCAGACGCGGATGACCCGCGGGCTCAGGCCGGTCATCTCCACCAGCTGCTCCTTCATGAGAGCATCAGGCCGCGGGTTGGCGGCGTAGCAGGTCCGCAGTGTGTGCAGCTGCTTCTCGTTGAGCACAGTCCGCACGCGGGTCGTCTTCTCCGTCTGCTTGTGCACATGCGGGCGCAACGCGGGCTGCCGGCCCGACCCAGGGTCTGCCAGGACAGGGTGGGGCCAGAGGTGAGGGAGGGGCCGCCACCCACCCGCCCTGCGCCCAACCTCCGGCGGCCGAGCGCCCCGGGGCCCGACTTCGTTTCAGCTTTATTCTGTTTATTTCGTTTGATTGCTCGTCTTCCTCTCCATCTGTTCGCCTTATGCGGAGAGCTGTGCATTTTCGTTCTTTCTCTCGCTCCCGGGCCGGGCTGCCCCGCAGCGATCTCTCCCAAGCTCCAGCAGGGCGCTGGAGCTCTAGACAGGCCGCTGTGGGGAGGGAGTGGCCGCTTGGGGATCTGCCTCGTTTAGTCGCAGGACCCTTGGAACGAGCGAAGCCCTCTGGAAGAAGTCAGAGTTTCAGAGGAAGAGGAAAGAGGCTCGCCTGGGTCTCTGGAGAGGGAAAGGGACCGACCTGGACTGGGGGCGCGGCGTTGCTCCGGGGACTGGGTGGGGGTGCGCATATCCCGAGGCCTACAAGGGCCCTTCCCCTCCTTCAGACCCCGTTTGGACAGAGCTGGGCCACTTGTGTCAAATACTCGTCCAGGGGTATGGACAGGCCTCCGGGGCCTGCAGCACTTCCTTCCTGCCCGCCCTTGGGCCTTGGCCCTGAGTCTCTTTCCCCAAGGCTCCGGGTTCCCCAGCCCAGTGGCCTCCCACCCACTGAGCTGGTGAGCGGCCGCCGCCGGTACTCTCCTCGCTTGGCCCCGGGTTCTCTCCATCCCCGGGAAACAGTGACTGATTCCAGAGCCTGCAGGCTGAAACCCGAAACAAACAAAGGGGAGCCTCTCCGAGATCCCAGACGGAGGTGCACTCAATACCCGCTTCCTGCCATTTCACATCTCCGTTTGAACCTAATCTACACACCATGGATCTATGCTGCACCATTTCGGTTTATGTTCCCCACTACACATTTCTAGGTCTGGACAAATATTTACAAATAGTCCATTCAGCCCAATTTCCTCTTTCTATAGGGAGGAAGTGGAGATACAGAGAGGGAAAGAGTGGGGCAAGGCCACAAAGCACCCAGAGGCCCAGCCTGGTCTGCGGATGTGTGCTGCAGGCCGATGGCTACCTGGGGGAAACTGCCCTGCCTGGGGCGGAGGCACCGCTGTTTCTGTTCAGCCCTCCTTGCTGGTGACACACTCAGACCCCAACTCTGGGCAGCTGCTGATCAGGACCCAGAATATTCCAGCGAGAGTCCACTATGCCTTGATACTCTGCCTCCCCCAGAAGAACCTGGCTAAATTGTTCATCAAACTGGGCCTCAAAACAGGAGGCAAACACCCCTCTTTGTTGGGTTCTTGGCTCCTGGCTGACCCAAGCCCTTGCTCAGCTCCCACTTGGGAGCCTTGTTAATTACACACATACTCCTAGGCAAACCTCCTTCCCCTCTGACAATAACACTTATTCCTCCAAGAAATTCCTAATACAAGCCCCAAGATGGACACCACTTAAGATTCCCTGTTGTCATCCACTCTCCTGCTGCTAGCACTGTGCCCGGCGTGTTCTTGGTCATGGAGAACAGGATTCTGCACAATTCCCCGTGCTCACATGCTCATACGCAAGCAGTTTCTCCCGGACACACGTGTACACACAGCCTTGATGCCAGCGCACAGTTCCGCATTGATACAGAAAAACATCCCGGCAGACACCACCACACACAAGTGACATCTCGTTGGGGACACAAGCGCGCCCCTACACACACGCAAGGACACACCCCGGCATAGGCCCCGGCGCGCTTACCTGGCAGATGCAGGCCGCGCGGGCCGGGGAGAGGGCCGGGGCTGCGCGGGCTGCCGGCCGCGGCGCGCTCGAGCAGGAGGCCGTGGTCGGCGCGGCAGAGCAGCTCGTGCTCCCTCAGCGAGAACTCGTCCCCAGGCAGCAGCTGGCGGCTGCACACGGAGCAGCGGAAGCACTCGATGTGGTACACGCTGTCCCGCGCCCGCATCACCAGGTCGCTGCTGCTGAAGCCCACCTGGCACTTGGCGCACTTGATGCCGAACAGCCTGCGGGCCCAAGGCGCGGCGGTGTCAGCGCGGGGCCTTCGGCCGCCCTGGTCTCCCCAGCTGCTACCGACTCCGGCGCGCGCCCAGGACACTTTGTGGCCCACCAGGAGGCTGCAGTGACCCGCCTGCGGGCATTCCCGGGCCCGGGGGCGCTCTGCAGCACGCGTGCGGGATGCGGCTGGCCTTCTCCCGGGGCAGAGCCGGGGCGCTCGGGCAAGCCGCCAGCCCCGGCCCCGGCGCTCGGTGGTCCAGCCCGCGTTCCCGCTGGCCTCACCTGACATAGTCCCGCTTGCAGTAGGTCTTCCCGTCTCTCACGAAGCACGTGCACGTCTCGTCCAGGTACTGGCTGCACTCGGCGCACTTGAGGCAGGCGGCATGCCACTCGAGGTCGGGCGACACCCGCAGGATAAACTGGTCGTGGATCTGACTCCCGCAGCCCACGCACATGGCAGTCCCGGGCTTCTCTGCAGGGAAAGGGCGCGGGGCGTGTCAGGCCTGACTGCACGCACCCCGGCCGGCCTCAGCCGGCCAGCCCCAACCCAACCCGCTCGTTCTCTTGTTCTTCCTTTCAAGACTTGCGACCATAAGGAAAGGTGATGAGCTTTCTAAAGGTCCAGACCATTGGAAACGAAAAACCAGTATCTTCTGGATTGCTGAAGGCTTCTTCTGTCCCCCGCCCCCAAATATTTCGCTATTACATTCACTAATCACAGTCGTTTTGTCGATGTGTCTTGAAACTAAACGCTAACACGAAACTAAGAAGAGGGAATACACAGTTAGGCACTGCAGACGCCTGGACATCAACACCTAACGGTGCTGTCCCGGCATTTCCGCTCACACACTCGCACTCACAGCGGCTGCCTCCTATCCCAACACAGACACATAGGCTTTCGGCAGTCCCTGCTCAGCCTCTAGGACAGTTCTTAGTTTAAATACCCCAGAGCAAGCGAGAGAAAGCTTCCTAGCTTTGAAAAACAGAAAGGCAAACAACAACTAAAAAAAATAAAAATCCCCACATCCCTGAATCAAACCTAATTGCCTTTGCGCAAAACAGAAGCAGATTTCGCAGCCCGAAGTCATCCTAGCCGGCTTGAGAAATAGTGTTTACTTATAAAATAAAACAACAGGATTCCCAAAGATAAGCAGTCTTGTAGGAGACTTGCATTCGTTTTTTCTCTTCTAAACTATCCTGACAAATAGAAGCCACTTGTAGAATCCACTAAACATTTTTCTGCATTAGAAATTTTGCATATTAAGCACACACACACCCCACCCCCCCACACACAGAAAGACTTACTCTTGGAATGATCACCCATAGCACCCAGAAAAGGATAATGAAAAATAATATCCACCATGCAGAAAAAGAGATGTGCGCAAAGTGTGCGGCCAGGGGCAGAAGGACGAGGGTCGCGCGCCGGGCCTCGGCTCTTTGCTAACTAACTCCTCCTGCCCCGTGGAGTTGAAGGAGCGATTCCGCACCGGCCCGCACGCAGCATGACGTCAACACGCATTCGCCCCGGGCCGGAGCTGGGGGCGGGACCTGTGGCGTCATGAAGCTTCCCCTGAACTGCCGGGGATGCGGGGGAGGTGATGGGGACCCGGGGGATGATGGGCGGGGTGGGTTTGGGTGGGAGGCTGGGAGTGAAGGGAGATTGGCTGGGAGGAAGTGTGCCAACCCTGATTGGCCCGGAGTGAACAATGGAGCGCAGCCCCCCCCACCCCGAAATCGACGAGGATCCTCTCTCCGACCCGGGGTCTGGCAATCGCTACTGGACCTTGCGTCACCGCCGAGCTGGCTCCGCGGCCGCTACAACTCTGAGCTTCCTCTTGGACTTTGGGGGCGGGTTTCCCAGGCGCGCTGGAGCTGTGTGATGGATACCTGAGGGTGGAGGTGGCTCTCTTTGAAGAGCTCCCTTCTTATATAAATTTTAAATATTAAAAAACGCACTCTCAGGACGAGAGCGCTTGGGAAAAGTGGGATCCGTTTGGATGTGACCGTCATCGTCCAGATGGTCACCTTTCTCCTCTGGTGTGCCTTTGTTCCTCGGGTCCAAGCTAGAGAGAGAGAAGTTAGAGAAGGACCATCTGGGTTCTGATAAACTCTGTTTGGACCCTCCTATCCACACAGCCTGTAGAAAACGTCAAGTTGAAGCATTAAGTGGGTTGAGCCAGAATGCAGAATCCAAATGCGCTCACCCGGGACTGGGACGGGTCCTGACTCGATCCTTGCTGCTGCTGCTCCGGCTCCACCTCCTCCACCACCACCTCCTCCTCCCGCTCCACCTCCTTGCTTTTTTTTATTATTATTATTTGTTGTTGTTGTTTTAAATGTAACACGGGCTCCCCCGCCCCGCCCCACCCCCCATTTTTCCCCTGCCCAAACCGCATAGCTTCTAGGAACACTGCTGGGGTCGCGTGTCCCATTTCCAAAACAAAAGATTTTCCAAACTCTTGTGCTTCATTTCAAAACCCACTGCAATGCAAATAATCACAAACGAACGCGAGGCTCTGGGTAATTTACAGTGCTCTCTGCGAGGCAGCTCGTTGGTCCTGAGACAGTCTGAGAGTTCTGAGCAGAGTCCAGGCATCCTTTCTTTCAAAGAAATCGCTGTGGGTTTTTTGTTTGAAAGGGTTCAAAGACTTGCCCATGAATTATAAATAACATTTATCCAACCATGGTGTCTGTTCTTGTTTTCCCATTAAAAGGAGTACTAAGAACTTGGTGTGCGCCTGGGTGGGGCGCGAGGTGAGGCGCCTGCGGATAAAGTGTCTTCGCCGGCATCCCAGACGCTGGCCCAGACCTTCGGGCTTGCGGGCCTGAGGGCGCGGTCGCGACTGCAGTTCTAAGAGCCTGAGGTTGCTTGGCCTCGAAAAGGTGCAACCAAGGGCTCAGGACGAGGCTTTGCAGACGGCCAGAGCGAGGCCCCAAGTACACGCTAACATTGTTACTCAATAGTGGTCCACAGTAAACGTTCCTCACCGGCCCCGCGCTGAGCGCTTTATGCCCCGTCCAATAGCTTCAGGCTTTTGCCCTCCGTCTCCACCTTTAGAACATCTAGTCTTCCCGCTGGTTCGGCTGTTTTTTTTTTTTTTTTTTTTGAAGTCTGTCTTTGTCTCCCAGGCTGGAGAGCAGTGGTGTGATCTCGGTTCAGTGCAACCTCCACCTCCTGAGTTCAAGCGATTCTCCTGCCTCAGACTCCGAGTAGCTGGGACTACAGGCGCGCGCCACGATGCCCGGCTAATTTTTGTGTTTTTAGTAGGGACGGGGTTTCACCATGTTGGTCAGGCTGGTCTCCAACTCCTAACCTCGTGATCTGCCCACCTCGGCCTCCCAAAGTGCTGGGATTACAGGCTGAGCCACCGAGCCCGGCCCCTAGTCCGGTTCTAGTTACGGTTTACCAACCGTCAGCCAACAGGCCATTTCTTGCATCTTGGGTCAACAGTCCCCCGGAAAGCCCTCAACCTGAGTGTGTGCCGGCAGGTCAGGGGTTGAGGGATGGTGCGTTTGAATGGATGTGTTTATGTAAATAGGGGACCGGAGAGAGGGAGAGGGTGTCTGTGCCTGTGGCTGTGCCAGGCCACCTGCGTGACCTCGGGGATCTTATTTTAATTCTCCTTCCCTCGGTTTCCTCATCTGCAAAATGGGGTATAATAAGCGTAGCTATCTCTATTAGGTAACAATTAAATAAACTACAGCTAGTGCTCGACTTACAACCACGATAGGTTCCGACAGACCGGTCGTAACACTATTTGGTTGTAAGTTGGGTAGGCTATATGTACAGTACTGTGAAATGATGTTATAAAACTCTTTAAGTCATATTTTATCATAATTTTCTTTCATTATTGTTGTATATCATAATTTTCTTTGTTCATTTTTGTTTCTTATTTTTACACTCGTCAGGTTTAAGTAAAACACTGCATTACCAGTACAACTGGTTTAATATTTGCAAAACATTGTGGTCGTAAAGTCGAATGGTCGTAAGTTGCATAGGTCGTAAGTCGATCAATACCTGTATTCTGTGGAAAGGGGTTAGAGCAATACCAGCGCAGAGTAAGTGCTACATACGTGTTAATTACGACAACTGTGATTGTGGCTGTATCTTTATGTTGGGAGCCTCTGCCCACACTGCCTGGGTGTGTCTGGGTGGGGAGGGGAGGTCTAACTACGTCTCGGTGCGTGTCATCTGATGATTTCTTTGTGTATTTCAATGTGTGCTTGCTCTGCGTGTGTCTGCTGTGTGGATGGGGTTCAGAGATGTGTGGTCTGTGCGTAGACTTTGTGTACAGGTTGTATCTGTGAATATGGGTGCACAATCTCAGAACTGGAAGGGGACGCTTGGTGCATGTGCCCACATGTGGAGGGGGGAGGTATGTCTGGCCCAATGGCCCTACCCTCAGGTGACCCTGGACCAGGCCTGGCTCCCGGCACCTACTAGGTCTTGCTCACCAGGCCAGGAGCAAGCACATCTATAATTCAAGGATTCAGATAGCTGGCCAGGAGGGGGCAGCTCCAGGCTGGAATCATAGGCCCAGCGTTTAACCCTCTGCTGCCCAGAGAAACTCCTCCTTCCCGTCCAGAAAAACCTATCCTTTGAAACTCCACTAGGGAGCTTGGAGAGGGTAGCATCTCCTGGTATGCCAGGAAGCCAGGTCAAGAGCAAATATGTGTTCAGGGCCACCATGTGCAAAGTTCTTGTTGTTAGGTCTTCAAAGTAATGCCATATGGTGGGAAGTATTGGACCCATCCAATCCTCAAGGAAACTGAGGCTCAGAGAGGGGAAGTTACTGTCCCCACTCACAAGTTAGATCAGAGCTGGCATTGAACCCAGGTCTGTCTGGCTCCATCTCCCTCCTTTTTTCGATGTGCCGTTCAAAAGCCACATGGGTGAGGCTCCACCATTCACTCACTTCATATCTCTAGAGCTGTAAAACCAAGCAGCCATTTCAAAATCGCTCCATGTATGACTTCGGTCACAGCCACCCCTGGGAGACCAGCACCGAGATGGGTGAAGGGAATACCTGTACCTGCTGGGCACGGCCACGGGCACCCCTGATGTGGCCCTACCCCGGTTCCCTGCCTCCTGGCTGCTTGCTTGTTAGGTGTGGAGAGGCCACATGCTCTCTACATCCCAGGCTGGCATACAGGAGACCTGGGTGCCTTCTACCCTGGGCCTTAGAGCACTTTCTCCTTATCAGGAATAGCAGCTTAAGCTCCAGAGCTGTGCACTACCCCATAAAACTAGCCTGTACTGGGGAGCGTTCAGAAGCACAGAGAAGTCTCCCTGATCCTTTCTCCCCAAAAGCTCCTCTACCACATAACTCACAAAGGCACAGCCCCGTGCACAGTGTCCAGCCAACAAAGAGGAAGCTGTTACTATAGCGAGGGCATCAGTACTCACTGTGAGTATCGGAAAGGAAACTGAGACCTGGTGACCTGTTACCCAGCATGCGATGGCAGTGGAGTTGAAAGCCAGGTCCCCTGACCCAGGCCAGACCTCTTTCTGCTGGGGTCCCTGTAGACCAGCTTCTGCCGTCCAGGGCTGAGACCCTGATACCCAGCTTAAGTCACCGGAGCGGGTTTCTCCTCTTGCTCCAGCCTCCGTCCCCCTCTATTCTCCTTCTGCCCCATTCCCAAAGGCTTTTACACTTCTCCAAAAGTAGCTGGATATGTTGACTTAGTAGGCCAGAGACAGCCTCAGCATTCACACCTTCATCCACCACAGGCATCTGAGAACTTGCTTTTGGGATGGAGACAGAGCACCATGTTTCAAAGAGCAACTAAGGCCTGGGGGCGGGAAGAAACTTGGCAAGTCAAGGTCAGGCTTCAGGCTTCTCGACATCTAAGACCCGTGCTCTCTCCCCAGCCTTGCCTGCCTCTCCCACCCCACATTCCCTTAGAGCAAACAGGTGCCCACGGACACTGCTGGGCCCCTCTCTGTCCTTCCCGAGCTCCCTTCTCTCTTCCCTAACAGTTACTGAGCACTTGCTATAGGTGGGGCCCTGGACTCAGCAGCCGCATGAGGTCTCATTAAAGTGTCCAACTATCTCCTGGGCAGGAATGGCCACGTAATTTGCAGATCTCATTGCAAAATAAAAACGCACAACCCTCTGCTCAAAAATTATTAAGAATTTCGATGGCCAGGGGCAGTGGCTCATACCTGTAATCCCAACATTTTGGGAGGCTGGGGCAATGGGATCGCTTGAGGTCAGGAGTTTGAGACCAGCCTGGCCAACACGGTGAAACCTTGTCTCTACTAAAAATAGAAAAATTAGCTGGGAGTGGTGGTACGCACCTGTAGTCCCAGCTACTCGGGAAGCTAAGGCAGGAATCGCTTGAACCCGGGAGGCAGAGGTTGCAGTGAGCCAAGACTGCACCACTGAACTTCAGCCTGGGTGACAAAGAGAAACTCTGTCTAAAAAAAAAAAAATCAAGACAGCAATGGCAGAGCATCAAACCAAGTGTGTCCCTCCCCTCCACACACAGCATTTCGGTGAATTCGCCCTGCCTCTGAGGC